GTGAAGTAAAAGACACAACGTGATCACATTCTTAGTGACTGCATGCATGATAATGAAGTGGGCAGGACTCTTTATTTTAAAGATATTTGGTAAAAGACCCAAAATATTTATACTGATGAAACAAATCTTCTGGTATTGGATGGAAAAAAAAATTAAACTGAGAAGATGGCTAGAAGAAATGGGATTTCAATGTACAAACTATCTAGGTTTATCACTGTTATTATTTTTTATGAGCTCAACTTGGAATCATAATGAATACCTGAGAGAACAACAAATTCCTCCTCAAGCATATTTGAGATGGACAAATTTGCTACAGAATTAAGCAGAATAAAAAATAAGAAAAAAAATCTAAAACATAAATTTGAAGTCACTGGCAGATTCTTATACAGAACTAAAAAAGCATCTGGATAAAATGTAAAGCTTTGTCTTGAACACATACTCACACTGTCTATGCAAACTTGTAAATAAACTTTTTGCCAGTATCGGGAATCATTATATACATTTCAAGAAAACATCTCTTTCTAGGTAATTTTTTCTTGAGAAAGAACTGTCCATAAAGGCTGGATTTCTCCCAAATATGTGGTTGTTAACACAGAATCCTAATCCTAATCTGTGTGACAGCTGGTGGTCTACTCGGACAAGGAAAGTGGAAAGTAAACACAAGTAATTATGAAGTTAAAATCTTCAAGAAAGAGAATAATCATTTCTTATCCACTGGTAAAAACAGCTTGTCGTTATTATAGAGAGGAGAACAAAAACTTGGTGAAGTCCTACCACATTAAGTATGACTTACTGTCCAAAACTTTTCTCATCATGTATGTGCACAATAGTCTTTAAAATTTGGCTGGTGAATGGATTAGACTTAAGCCAGGATGCTGGGTTTTCCACATGGTCAGGGAACAAACAAGTGGGGCCGTTTTCTTAATTTACAGGAAATAGACACTACTAACCAAACATGCCATCTGGCTTTTGAAATGTTTGTTATCTTGATGATTAAAAATGACACAGTTGTTCAGACTCTATAGACATGTGGCAGAGGATCTGAAACTTAGAAAGCACTTAATCAGTGTTAGTGATAGTCCGGGCTGATTAATTCAAACTCTGGTGAAGTTTTTCTATCATACCTCATTTTCAGATGTTGGTGGTACCATCACACCCTAACGGTAGTTCTCACCCATTCCATTCAGTTCCCAGGCCCAAAAATTTTGCCATCAAAATTCTGGTCTTTAGATTTAAAATTTACAAGTCTCCTTTTTCTTTCATCTCCTTTCTTTCTGTTCTTTCTCTCCTCCACTTTAACCTGTGTGTGGCAATTTGTTAATCTTTATGTGGGTATTAGATTCTACTTGCTTTTGTAGACTCAACTAACAACTCAATTCTCCTGTTTTGCTCTTTTAGTCATACACATTGCTACAGATATGACCTGCTCTAGCTCAGCCTTTAAATCTATCTTAGGTCCTGAGTTTCAGGTTTACCACTGTTCTGGTCCTAAAAGTTGCTGCTCCTAGGTATAGAGGATGGCCTTCATGTGATCCTCTACCAACTAACTTCTTCCTCACTCCTTTCAATAATTCACATCTTATTTATCTCTCCATTATCAACTTGGAAACTTAGATCAACAAATCTACAATAATGACAGTACTCGGTATTGAGTAAGTTTTAAAAGGTGAGTAGGATTATGATATATGATATATGTAAATATTGCCTTGAGTCATCATATTAACTTCTCCAGAACACAGAATATATTTTATCAGCAAACAAGGCTGGTGGTGGCTGTCTTGGATTCCAATGGCATCACTTACAAACACAGAATTAGCCCTCTTCAGGCAAGCATTTATAAATGTTTTATATGTTGTCTTATGCTGTCAATTTTTGCTTTTCTTTGTCTCATTTCTCAAGCTAATTTTTTATATTTCTGTTCATCTTCCTTGATGTCTAGACCTCAATGAACTGCACGTGGTATTTATTAATATAATACTTAATTAAGAAAAACATAGACATACACCTTGGAAGAACATTTACTTCAAAGATGCAATTCTGACTGTCTAACAAGCTTAGACACTTCAAAGCATTTTCTCTATCAGACAGACTTCTGACACCACTAGCAGAGATTATTGAGAAAGATAATCTTGGATGTATTGTCTTTCATACTTTATTATATGTACCCCCAGGAATTAGAGGGGTCATTTGATACTTCTGGAACACTGAGCAAATTTTTTTTCTTTTTTTAAAGAAAAAAGTGAGGCAGATTTCTATGATACTGAAAATTCAGCCCTCACTGAGACTGCTTGACTATTGTAATCTGGTTTTAGTGGCTATGTGGTTAACTTTTGCATAGTTTTCATACTAAAAGGTCTCTTCATTTCTTTGCATGTGAGAAATTTTCAGAGAAATTTTCACAGGGATGGTAGTAATTTAATAATTACTGTTAATTATTAAATATGGCTTCTGTCATAATTACTATTGTGTTGGCATTTGTATTGATGGGGTAAAAAATAACAGTAGGGCCGGGTGCTGGTAGCTCACGCCTGTAATCCTAGCTACTCAGGAGGCAGAGATCTGAGGATCACGGTTCAAAGCCAGCCTGGGCAAGGAAAGTCTGTGAAACTCTTATCTCCAATAAACCACTAGAAACCCAGAAGTGGTGCTGTGGCTCAAGCGGTAGAGCGCTCACCTTGAGCTGAAGAGCTGAGGATAGTGCCCAAGCCCAGAGTTCAAGCCCCACCACTGACCAAAAAACAAAAACAAACCAAAAAAATAACAGTAGGCAAAACTGCTGTTTGTAACCAAGGAACCAAAGCCAAAACACCAGACTAACTGTATAGCAATTATTGTATTTTTCACTACCACATATTCTCAATAAAAAAATTGCCAGGTGAAAGTGATGAATGGTAAGAATATTATTAGACCACCCTTATATACTTTCTACTGCATTCCATGAACAAATGAGAAGGCTACACAATAGTACCTCTACTGTGTTCTGAATTATAGTGGTTGCTGAGATGTCAATGCACCTGTTGGAGTATGAGCCAACTTCCCCTATTTTCCAAGGAAATTGAGTTTATTTGGAAAGACTGACATATGATACCTGTTCAGACTACATTATGTTTTGAGTATTTTCACAAAAATGAGTGCGGTGAATCTATCACTCCAAGGGTGACAAAAAATAAAATTTACATATTAAGATGAAAACTCAAGTTCTTGAAAACTTGCATTTGCCACTGTGGACCTGACAGCTTCCCACAATTTAGAAGAATTTTCTGTTGAAAATGTTGATATTAACAAATGTGGATACTTTTGCATTCTATTTTTTTAGATATGCCACGCTTTTGAAAATCTGCATAATTGGAATTTTAAAAAATAATCAATTCATATTATGAATCATTCATTAGTAAAATCCATTTAATGTTTAAGAAAGAACAATGGAATATGAAAAGTTCATTGAAATTTCAGATTCTACACTGAAACAAATCTTTAATATTCAGACAAATATCTGTAGATGTTTAATGTAGTTTATATTTTAATGTAATACCAAAAAAGAAAATTCATAATTATATCAAGAGTTTACTAAGAATTCCCTCTAGTTGGTGTGATGGTGCTCACCTGTAATTTCAGCACTTATAAGTCTGAAACAAGATCCAAAGTTCTATCTCAGCCTGAGCTACTAAGCAAATTCAAGGCTATTATGGACTGAGATTCTGCCTCAGAAAAACATAACATAACACTCCTTTCACTTCCAAATACATATATCTCTGTGTGACTAGACATACTTTATATACTTTTAACCAAAGTGATGTTTTAAAATAGAATACAAAACAGGTATTAAGCTAGATAGAACAAGGATTTACAAAAACATTAAAAAGGAACATAAATTTACAAAAATTTTAAAGAAGTAGCTAATTTTCATGATATATAATACTGTGTAGTCTTCTCTGATCTGTGATTTCTCTTTTCCACAGTATCAGTTTTACCTGTGGTCCCCACTATATTCTAAATATACTGTCTTTTCTTTTCTTTCTTCCTTTTTTTTTTTTTTGGCCAGTCCTGGGGCTTGAACTCAGGGGTTGGGCACTGTCCCTGAGCTTCTTTTGCTAAAAGTCAGCACTCTACCACACTCAAGCTATAGCTCCACTTCCAGTGTTTTCTGTTTATGTGGTACTGAGGAACTGAACTCAGGGCTTCATGCCTGCTATGCAAGTACTCTACTACTAAGCCACATTCCCAGCCCTAAATATACTGTCTTAATTATTTTGAGAGAAAGATATCACAACATTCATGTAATGTTCATTATATTATGTTATAATTGTCCTATTTTGTTTCTAGATGTTATTGTTAATCTCTTACTGTGTATACTTTATAAATTAAATGTTATCATAAGTACGTTAATGTAGAAATAACAGTATATGTAGCAGTTATTTATATCTGTAACTTCAATGCTTGAATATATCCCAATGATTAGAAAGGGACTACCAAATACATAATATTTTTATGTATAAGTTATAGAAAATAAAACTTTACTATATAAAAATGAATTCATAAATGTTTTTCAAATTCCAAGTCATATGTTACCAAATTAATTTTGGCTGTTATAACTCAGCATCAACAAAAGACCTTTAGGGTCATCAACTTCAACAAGAGGTCCTAGGAACAAAATGTTTATGATTGATTGCTTTCCCATGAAAAGCTTATGGAGCTGCATTTCTTTGCAGGTTTCCCCCACCCCTAAGAATATATATCTCATAAAATGATTCACTACAGAAGAGGATCCATTTGGAGTAAGTTTGAAAATGTATTGGCTGCCATTCCTGAACAGCTACAGGAATCTGATGGGGACTCAGAGACCTTTAAATATATCCATTTTAACCACAGCATGCTAACCTGCTGTACATATTCTACAGTCGGTGTTTCCCATGCTACCTCAGAAAGATAGTGATTGTAATATATAGGACATATGACCTTGCAGAAGGGACACTGGATATTGGAAGTTCACTGAGATTTACCTTCAAGCCGAACCACAAGGGGCACTTTGAGTTCTAGCTCGCGGCAGGCCTTAGTGATCCCATTGGCAACGATGGCACAGTTGACAATACCACCAAAAATATTGACAAGAATGGCTTCAACCTGAAATCAACAATAGGAAATTGTCGATCAAAATGTTGGCAGCTAAGAGTCTGAAAGATAACTGAAGGCAATAAATGAGAAAATTAAAGACTTTTAACAATTTTTATATGAACATAAAACTGAATAAAAATAAGAGCATGTTAGGAAAGTTAAAATTTAGTAATGAATAAATAACAATATAAGACATTGCATATTAATCTATCAATAACCCTTTAGAACTCAAATTCAATTACTGTTCATTTATCTAATGTATGCTGCTTTCTGCATTTTTAAAATATTGTTATCTGGAACTGGTATTTATTTCTTGTGAATAATGCCATTTAAAATTTGATGCACTTATAAGCCTTTTGTCCATAATGTCACTTAAATTTCCTTATTTGTTTCAGTACCTGATGCAATAGTTCAAAATTTAAAAAGTTATCATTTGTTGCTCTGTATAAATAGGCTAGGATTCCAACAGTTCTTTGATATGCTAAGGGTACATTCTTAAAAAACAGGAATAATCTGATTATCTTAGACAAAAAACCTATTTGATTAAAAGCATCATCCCCAAATAAAGATATGGCTCATATCATAGTAAAGATATAAAGAAAGTCAAGCTACTGACTGAAATTTGTCAGAAATGTACATTTAAACCCAGCACGCTAACTTCTTTGTACATATTCCATATTCAAAACCATGTTAGCCCCAAAAACTTGTACTTGTCTTGACTTGATAAATAGGTATAAGAAAATCCCGTATAATTAACATAAAGAATAAGATAATGAAGACAATTCATTACCTAGATTAATTGATAACACCCACAGAAAACAGCTATTCATCAAGCTCAAGGCATCAAAGTTTCAACAATAGAATCACAATTAAGCTACGCTGCACTAATTGCGAAGTATATATGTATGTGTTGCATGCCATTTTTAGATGGTGTTGTTTCAATGTGCTAAAATAACTATAAACAGCACGAGAAATTGTTAGACTTGAAGAGCACTTAACTGTTCAGAAAATGCTATTACATTTCTTCTCGTTCTTTATTCTGATCCTTTCCAGAACCCTAGTCTTTCAAATGGGTCTGAACCTCTAATGGAAGAAACCTTTGGGACTCATGACCTCATAGCCAACATGCAGCAATGGTAAGCTCTCTAGACTGACTGTTGGTTGTTCATCCATGCTGATTGACTGCTAAGCCAGGATCCTGGTATGCTCTGTAATCTCTCTCCAACATGGTTTCTCATCTGCAGAATGAGAAACAGTCCCTATCTTAGAAGGTTTTTAAAAGGCCTAAGGAAGATGACACAAGTAAAATGGTTAGAGAGTAAATTTAAATGTACTTAATGGATATTTATATGTGAATTTATTGAGTGGGTAGTGACAAAAGTGGGCAGGCTAAGTATACAGTAAGGAAGAAAACCTCTTCCAGAAAACTGCAACCATGATGAAGTAGAATATAACAGAAACACAAACGTACTATGTTTAATAAAAAGGCAAGGTCTTAAAAATAAGCAAAATGAACAATATTTTTCAAGCCAGTTAGGAATTGGGACTACTTCCAAAAATGAAACCTCCCAATACCATTCACAGCAGGCCAACTGGTAAGCAGAAGTTTACTTCCTAATGGCAGCTATTAAATGCTGTTAGCATGGAGGTACAGTACAACAGTAGTTTCCAAGTAACAGTCAGGCAGAGGGGAACTTGCCAGAACAATAGAAGAAAAAACACAGCAATAATGACTCCACAGGGTTTGAGCTAGAAACAGGAGAATACTGAGGCTAACTAAGGTTTGTGAAAGAGAACTATGCTTTCCAGGAAGGCCCCCACTGGTGCTCCTACAACTCTACAAAGTTCCAAGTGCACAGTTTTTAAGGGCAAGTTCAGATGTCAACTTCTCATGGACACTTGCCTTTCTCATTAAGTTAGAAGGAGTTAGGAGTTACTATGTTTAATCTATCTAAAACTGTGTGACTGCTCTGAAAGTAGTTATACTATACACAGACATGGGAATATACCTAACCTGGCGGGGGGAGGGGAGGGGGAGGAAGGGAAGAGGGTGAGGAGAATGAACATGCCTGGGACCCTGGGACTGACTTCTGCTACCAGGGTGAGTTTCCTGGGGAAGCATCAAATACAACCTGTGGTTCTGGAGTTGCCTCATGGGTGTTAGTTCCCATGAGCCTCTCAGGGAGACTCTTTCTCTGTAAGATATTAAATACAGTATATCACTGTGTTTAATGAGACTCTAATATTAAAAATAGATGTTCTTCATACAATAACTTGTACCTAAAGGTCAGTTAACCACTTGGGCTGGTGGTGAATTCACAGATCTTAGGGAGAAGGGAGCAAACAGGATGACCACAGAACTGACATCCACCATAGCTCATGGAGGAACTAACAGGTTGAAGGAGAAAGTAACCTGAGGTGTAGCAGGGAGTAGAATGTACCCTTAGAGCCCCAGGATGAGAAAGCAGCACTCTTAGCATACTCCTTCCATTTCCAGAGCTGGGTGAAGGCAACATTTGACAGTAGTTTCCCTGAGAAGCAGTGTGTGCATGTTAGGACAGTGATATAGGGACAAAGAGAAGACTGCATGTGAAAAAGAGTGAGAAATATAAAGCAACCATGTGCAAAGGAGAGAGAGAGAGGGGGAGAAAGAGAGAGAGAGCAACAGAGAGAAAGATCACAAGTGCAGAGTGTAGTGGTACACACCTGCAATCCAAGCACTTTAGATCATAAGTTTGAAATCAGCCTGGATCTCACTGTGAGACCCTGTGTCCAACAACATGGAAGGGAAAGAGAATAAGAAGGAAAGGGAGGGAAAGAGAAGGAGAAAGAGGAGATAGAGGAAAAATGTAAGTGTGGTAGCAACATAAAACAAGCTGTGATAAAGGAGGAGAGATGGACTAGCAAGGCAGGATTTCTGTAAGAGTAACACAGGCTGCTTGGTCAGGAGGGTGGGACTGCTCCAGCCCCACAGGGCCCTGCCCCACAGGGACAGGAAAAACACCTCTAGAGTAGTGGGAAACCCTCCCTCCCCCAATGAGAGAGCTGCCACCTGCCTTCTCTCCCACTATGCAGTAATTTGCTGCAAGCATGCATTAATGAAAATCTGATTTAAGGCTTCACTCTGGGCCAATTTCTATAATTAACTATTATCATTTTCAATCTCAAACTGAGAATAAAATTAAGACAGTTTAAAAATGAAAGCCTTATGACATTATCATCATTATTATTTAGCATTTATAAAGCATGTCAGATATTCGGTGTATGTCTCACATGGCCATTCATTTTTAAAACCACTAACTGCTGTTCCCTTCTCATACCAAGAGCAACTTTTAATTGTTGTTTTGTTTTGTTTTTCTCTGGCAAGGAGAATGATGAGGGAGCAGTGCTAGATCTGTGTAAGTGCTCCAAGATGCTCCCAGAAGCTCTCTGAGTGCTTTTAAGACAGAAGCTTTTTCGATTTCTCAGGCGAGAATTATAAGGGTTGCTATTTACTGTTTCACAAAAGTAAAGATCATCTAATGGGGCAGTTAAGGTGCCAGTTTCAGATCCAGGTCCCCAAGTCCCAGATAGCTGCTTCTGCACTGAGTCTGTGGCAACCCATGATAGCTGTGCAGGTGGTTGGGCTGCCCAAACACAGGTTTCTCAAATGTTCCCACATGTTTGGCTTTGCAACACATGTTAGCTCCAAATTTCAGTCCACAACTAAGGGTAAAGAATGAACTGCAAAATGAATAAAGTTACAGCCTTTGCTACTTGTCAAGCCCCTCTTAGCCCCAAATAAACAAAGCAACAAAAACCAATACTAAAAAGCCTTTTGTTGCAGCACAGATCCTTTGATATATCTGATGAATAGAAGGACCCCATTCAGATAAATTCATTCACATGATGTGGCTTCATGTTAGGTGAATTCCACCACAGAGGTGGATTCAGACAAATAATGAAAAGGTGGGGCCTATAGCACATGTACATAGGAGCATGAGTTTCAAGGGAGCCAATAATTTGTGTAAGTTTAAGTTGAATATGTATTCTTCAGGAAAATGTCTACAACTAAGAATCAACAAAATAACAATCACAAAACTATATATATATATATATATATATATATATATATATTATATTGCAGTTTTCTCAGTTGTATTCTTGTTGTTATATGTATTGGTACCAGTGTCATATGAGATTGGTATCATTTTCATCCACGTTTAACAAATAAGGAAAGTGAGATTATCAAAAATAAGAGGAGGTGTCAGCTTATCTACTATCAAATGCTCTTCAGAGCAGTAAACCAGAGGCCCGACAATACTGGGTATACTTTGCATTATCTCATTTACTACTATAGCTCACTTATCCTTAAGCATGTGAGGTACATGCTACCTATCCCATTTGGTAGATGAGAAAACAGACGCAAGTAATCAAACAAAACAAAACTTAAAAACAAAAAACATCTTGTGCCACATTATGCAGACAGCATGTTGTCGGGTTCAAAAATTCAATCCTTTTTCTTTAATATTGTCAGTTCCCTTTCATTAAATGCAAACACTGTCAGACTGCTCAACACAAATATTCAGTATACAATACTCAGTATATACTCTTGAGGACCTACACTGAGCTAGGCACACTGAACCACTGAATGTGCTCGGTATCTAGAGTGGCAAGAAAGATGGTAAAACTGGCAAGAAAAAAAAAGCTCCACATCTGCATCTGATACGACAAACAGGTACAGCACAAGACTCACATTAAATTAGGTGCTTAGAGTGGGCCTCTTGTATGAAGAGACATTTAAGTGATGGTCTGCACAAGATCTCAGCCAATAAATCAAAAGTCTGAAGAACTGTCAGGAAGAGGAAGAGGCCACATAGATTAAGAGGCGGGGAAGAGAATCTCAAGATTCAAAGGAAAAGGCCAAGGGACAGAACAGAGCCAATGTCTCTGAAAATCTGGAATAATATCAAATGCTAGGCATGAGTGATAGAGTGAAAAGGACTCCCCAGGGGCCAAGTAATGCCAGG